TACATATTTTGTTCAAGAAGCTCGAAGTGATTGCAAGTGACACTTCAGTTTCAAGCATTGATGTGTATTCGAACACGGAAATATCGAAATCTATTGGCAAAACATAAAATTTACGGTCCGAATTGCATTTGAAATTAAAACATTCGAAACTGACGACCGGGTCGGTACATGTTCTCGTGTTCTGTCATGGAGTTCAAGCAAAGGGACCAGAACCAATTAAGAAATATCAACTACAAGAGAAACAACCGGGTATGCAAAATTATCATCTATACCATGTATGACACCCATAACCAGAACGATTTTGCTTCAAGAGATGCAAAACAGTTTTCAATTCTTACGTGGATCAACCATCGAGCCCCAGATTTGAAGTTAACCAAGCACAGACCTCTTCCATCTCCTCCGGGATCGTATAGTGGCCGAGCCTAGATTGTCAAATAAAGTACTCGGTTCAAGTTGATGAATTGTCAAATAGATAAGAAACATGAAGGATCTGTTGGACCATAGAAAGATCCATACCCATTGTAGGATTTGAAAGTCGTGTCCTTAAATCCGTTTGAATTCAATGCTCGAGAGGATTCCTCACCAAATTTATATGGAACCACATCATCACCTGAAAACGAGCATGCAACATATAATGTCATACGTAATTCAAATGAACACCTGTAACCTTTATGCCAATCTACGATAATTTGCATAATGAAGGTAAATTATAAATACCTTTGCCATGGCATAGCAAAATGGGCAAAGACGCAGCACGCCTTGCAGCAGCATCGTGTCCTATTTTGCTTTGCAGAGTCCTGGAAAATAATAGGAATTATAACAATACACCGGAACAAAGGGTGGAAAAAGGGTGGAAAAGGAGATAAAATGCAGGAAACTCACTTTGAACATGGAAGCCATCCGCTAAGTCCGACAACCGCACTCAAATTGGCAGGATACGTGTTTCCGTTTCCATATTTTCCATGTGTAAAACAGGTGGCAGAGTATAGAGAGGTAGCTGCACCCATACTGAAGCCTCCAACACCGAGTTTAACTGCAATTAGAAAATGCTTCTATTAGAACAGTGTCAAAAACAATGACAGTGAACAAAACTTTCATCGATAAAACTAAAGTGAATGCAACATTGCATTGGTTTTAAGCCAATCTAATCAAGCAACAACAGATTACAGGGTGTTAAACCGACCCCAAAAACCATAACCCCAGCAGAATGCAAGGCTAACGTTTGGCAGCCGAAAGATGTAAAACTTTATTTGTCATTAATTCTCACCATAGAATGAAGTATCCAAAATTCATTGAAAATATTTGGAAGAGAAACGGGAAACTGCACCCCCACCCCCCACCAAGAAAAAAATTCTAGCATCATAAAACCTCATAAAAAAGGGCAAGAGGAAACGTACTGTCAGCAGGCTCTGCTGACAGCAAATTTGCAACATGTGCTGCAGCAGCATCCAAACCCTCTATATCATCGGGTGCATCTTCTGAAAGTTCGCCCACATCGAACCCTGATGCATTTTAGATTAGAATTGAACAATTTGATTAGATTCAACTAAAAATAATCAAAATTGTAAGAAAACGAATTTAATGCATTTAGTTCCATCATATGAGATAGCATTGTTACAGAAATATAAGGATATGCTTACAAGCAGTTGATGGAAAGCCACCAAATATACTTATTGGTTGAGTAGGAGCAGTTGGGCATATCCATTTAATCTGAAGCATAGGATCATCACAAGCACAAAAATTATGACGTAATCAAGAAGAATAAATTCATTGGCTAATTATTAGAATTAATTCCAGTAAACATCTTTGGCTGCACTCAACCATCCTTACATTTGGAAGTGGGAGAGTCTCCAGGAGCTGGGACCAACTGTCAAACAAGAAAAGATAAATGAGTAGGTATTTCAAAAGATATCAACATTTTTCTTATCTAATATCTGAGATCATTGATCACAAAAATGGGTAACACATAGGAACGATAATGCAGGGAAAAGGTGGACGTCGAGAAAAGAGTTACCATTACCAAAATCAGGAACAAAAAATCAAAACACAAGCAAATTAATTGCTATTTTCCTTGAAAGACTTTTGAACTCTTGAGGGATGGGAACAAATAGAAATAAACTCAACATGCATATAATAAACAAAATATTTCTCCCCCAACAAATTGAAAATTAGAAGAGTGGATAGGGATCCGAATTATTAATCGTTTCCTATTCCTAGGAGTAAATAAGTTAAACCAATGGGATTATTGAGAAAATAATCTGAAACTTATTCACCAAAAAGAGAACCAAAAACAACAAACAAGAAGCTCAGAAAGCAATGCAAAGTTTACTATACCTCGAACCATTATCACCGAGGCCATGTAGCCAAACTATAGTAGCTTGGTGCCTGCCTTTCGGCCTGACCACATAGGTTCTTCCGAACTCAAGTGCCCCCCTGACGGTTCTAGCACCTGAAAATTCGCCGCAGACTTGCAATAAAGTTAAAAACATTTAAAATTAAACAGAGGTGGATAAAACAACCTCATGAATTTACAAAAAAATAAAGTCAACTTAATTCGACATATGTACCAATCAACCATACAAAGAAGAGAATCAAATGATTCAATCGACATAAGAAAAATCAGAATATATAATAAAAGCTTGTTAGTTAGCTCTCATTTTGGAAACCATCACCATAGCAGCAGGTAAGGAAGCAGATAAAGTGATAAACTAACCAGGGGAGAAAGAAGGACCAGTGAAGCTCATAGTAGAGTGACACTAAGCAAATCCGCCGAATGCACAAGCAGAAGGCAGCACTGATCCTGCAAATGAACTGAAAGTCTGAAACCCAGATTTATATTTTAAGAATCAAAAGTAAATTCTACAAAGTAATCCATTTTCAGTACAATGATACAATATACTTTAAGCAACCAGGCACCAAACAGGCGACCTTGTCAGCAACACTTAAACTAAACCCAAAATTAGAAAGGGAAAAAAAACAGGTGCATTACAACAAATTCATCAGAAATAAAACACTTCTAGCTAACCCAGATTAAAAATCTTTCAAAACCCATCATAAAATGGGACTTCAACTCAAACTAAAATGATGGCATTCACATGAAAAAAAGATGTAAGAAGGAATACCGAAAGATGAACAAGAATGAAACTTTGAAAAGTCAACTTTTTTTTAAAGATCAACAGGTTGGAAAGAACTGCGAAGTGAAATCCAGTAGATTCTAGGATTTTTTTTTAAAGAAAAAGCATCTTAGTTGGGGGAAGAAGATATAAAAAAAAACCGAGAAGGGGGTTTAGGGTTTAGGCAGTTTACCTTTCTTCGACAATGACGTCGACTTGGATGTGAAGTGTCCGCGAAGGCTTTAGATACAAAAGATCTCTTATTTTGGTCTCCAATCTCCAATTTTTTGTCAATTACTTTTCTCCCTCCGTTTATAAGGATTTTTTATATTATAACATGTTTTTTAACCATTTTACTTTTTTTATTTAAAAATAACATAATTAGAAAATAATATTTACATGCACAAATCAAGTTATCTTAATAATCAAAGGATAATTGTTATCTTTAAAAATCTCAATTCGAGCATATTATATGTCAGAAATATTTGAGTATTCATTATCGAGTGGATATAAAATCTTTCGAATAGATATTACTTTATAATAAATATTTATCGATTATTTAATATCTATTTGATTCATTATTACTTTTTATTTGTCGAATTTATCTTGTGACCACTCTAAATTAATAAGAAAAAATTACTTAAAAGTAATGTTAAAAATTATTTTTTGTAAAAAACAGGTAATATTTTGAGGAATAAAAGCGAAGTGAACTATTTTTAACATTTTTTTGTTACAAAATTTTAACATTTATATTTGTTAAAAATTATGAGTATCATTACCCCAACACTCATTCGATTCATTACTACTTTTTATTCTTCGCGTCGACCTTGTTACTGCGAAGAACAATAGGAATATTTTCATTCATACACAGGGATACATATAGATGTAAATACAACGAGATAGATCGTAAATTATTCGAAATTGATTTGTCTGAAATTCGATAAATATTTGACTCGAGCTTTTAACGAGCTACTTGATAGTCGACTCGAAAAGTTCACGGACAACTCGAAAAATATAATATATTAAGATTTTATTTAAAAAAAATAAATTATTCATAAATTAACATTTATGTATTGATTTAAAAAATTACAGTATAAGATTTTTATACATTTAAGATTCATATTCGAGTTCGAGTTTAAAGCTTCAATCGAGTTAAGCTTAAGTATTTTTTTTTATTTCAAGATTTTTTTGAGCTTCTACGAACTTTAATTCATGATTTCGAGTTCGAATCAAACTTAAAAATTTAAAGCTTGTGAATTTTCAAACGAAACTAAGCTTTATTTTAAATTTTTTGAGTAGAATAAAGTTTAATAATACACAAACTGTTTAATAATATACAAACTCAACTCAACGCATTATTATATCACTCCTGCCGCTGCCGTAGTCGTATGCATATTTTCTTTAAAAGTCCTGGACCACAGTTTCGAGTGCTCCTTGCTTGCTTTATCGGCACTTTTTCAATTTAATAACCATTTTCAATACAAACAAAATGATTTCGATGATTAAAAAATATTATTATTATTTAAAATTTCATTTTAGAATATCAAAATTTTAAAATAATAATTTAATATTAAATAATTAATAATTATTTTTAAATAAATATTACTTTATTATACTTATTATTATAGCAAAGTTAGAGTCGGTGACATTACATGAATATACAATAAATTTAATATCTATCTGATATAGAATCAAATTTTAGAATATTCCTCGTTTGATTGTTTTATATTAGCATATTCGGCAGCTTGGAGAATCCCAGATCCAAACTGCAGCACCATAATCGTTTAATGATCATCGTCATCTTCTTTTTTCTTTTTTCTTTTTTTTGGGTAATTTCATTCAAGTTTAAATCAAATGCCGACTGCATTTCGCCATCAGTATGTTACATTGACATAAAGAATATTTATTATATTTCCAATCTTTAAAAAGAAAAAAATACTCCCGAATCGCCGGAGAATCATAGATCGGAACGATCATTGAAATCGGAGGCGAGCCTAGAAGCGATAGCTGAATGGTACATAGCGTCGTGAAACGACTCCGTGTTCGTAGTCATCATTCGGAGCTGCCTCGCCTTGTCTTCCGTGAACCTTCCCCGGGAAAACTTCGATCTCGCCGGCTTTTGCGCTGTTTCCGATTTCGATTCCACTTCTCTTTTCTCTTCGACCTCGGTCTTTCCATCGGAGCCAAAGTAATCGGGCTCGTTTGACAATCCAAAAAGCGGGCTCCACCAGTTGGATGAGGAAGGCGGTGAAACACTACTTTTACGGCGAACGAGATCCTGTTTTGCATGGCCGGGAACAGAACCGGCGTAGATTCCGGCGGGACGGAAGGTGAGAAGATTAGTAGCCATTGAAATGCTTGATTTAAAGGGGTTGTCGACAGAAAACTTAGGGCTTCTGGAATTCAGAGAGATTCTGTTAAATTTGTATTAATGGAGATCAAAGTATTTATAGAGGAATTGCCCAGTGATTCAATAAAGAATTATTATTATTATTTTGAGTAATTCAATAAAGAATTAAAGATTAAAGAAAAGGAGAAGGTGGGGTAACGGATAAGATATACACGTGGAGGTGAATCGTTTCAAACCTTTTACCTTTTTTACCGAATGTTCCGGTCTTTTGGTCTGGGCCGTGGGCCTTAGATGAACCGATGTTCATATCAAGTTACATACACGTATACAATACTGGGAAATCAAATTCCCAATTAAACTATAGTTCAATTAATATTTTTAAATGTCGTAAATTTAATTAGGATTAAACATAATTATTTTTATTTTAAATTTTAAAGGATTATAAATTAAATTTCTAAATTTCTAAATGATAGTCCAATATCTCTGTACTTTTGAAAGAAAACTAATGTGATGATCGTTTTATTTTTATTTCAATGTAATTTTCCAACTCAAAAAATAAATTCAATGTGATCATTTAGCTAAAATATTTTGTTGTTTAACGTTACGATACTGATGTGGCAACTCTTTGTGCTGATGTTGTGATCTGCGATACTGACGTGGCAGTCCATCTGCTATGTTTGAGTTACCAATTTATCCATTTGTCATGTTATTCGTCATATTATCAACAATCATGAACTGTCACGTCAACACTGCAACGGTCAACGATGAAAAATGTTATTTAAAGGGTCATATTAAACTTATTTTTTGAGTTCAAGGGCCGTATCGAGAGGGAAAAATAATACAAAGACCATATTAGTTTTTTTAAATATAAAAACATCTAATATCTTTTTACTAATAAAATATTATAAATAATTAATTTATTCACATATTTTTCGGAACATATATTTAAAAAAAGTTGACTTTTACCATTTTTTCTCCATTTGAGTTTGGAGACAATTTTCGACATGTGAAAATCATCTTTGTTGGAAGCATTCAATCAAAATGCGTTACGAACGCGTTCCTCAATTCCTTGTTCTCTCCAGTGGTCCAGCCACTGTCCTTGTCCGGTTAGCCGGCTCCGTCTTTTTGTAAGCACAAGCTGCGCATCTTTGAACACTCCACAACCACAATATGACAGGCACCGCGTTTGGACCGTCGTCGAGCGCAACCATGAATATACTTCCCGATTCCATGTCCAGCCAGCCATGGCCGCCCCTTGCTTTCTGGGTCATGGTTTGCCTTTCAAACTCTCAATCTATGCCCAGCCAACTTTACATGAATATCTGGGCTATTGGGCCACAATATTCATACTGGATTAGGCTTAAACATTATTCCATGCAATTAATTATATAAAAATACTTACTATAATCCCTCAAAATCCTTTTAACCTTGTTGTTATCCCCACTCTCTACACATTAATATGATGAAACATGCAGAAGATAACCAACTTAATATGTGAGAATAAGCTTATACATATTTAGTCTAGGAATTCTTTGTCAGCATTTGAAAGACAAGAATGACCCGATTATGGAAGGCGTTTTAATTGAGACCGAGAACATGCTAGCCCGAGGGAGAATGGATTTACCTCTCAACCTTTGCTTCGCCACACTCAGGGGAGACGACTTGTTGTTGCATCAGCTATTGAAAAGGGGGCTTGATCCTAATGAAGCAGACAACAACGGAAGAACAGCTTTGGTTAGTGAAAATCTTTTAGACTTTTCATTTGGTCAAGATCCCATATGTATATGTATATGTATATGTATATCATATGCATGCATATGTATATGCATATGCATATGTATATGCATATGTATATGTATATGTATATGTATATGTATATGTATATGTATATGTATATGTATATGTATATGTATATGTATATGTATATGTATGTATATGTATATGTATATGTATATGTATATGTATATGTATATGTATATGTATATGTATATGTATATGTATATGTATATGTATATGTATATGTATATGTATATGTATATGTATATGTATATGTATATGTATATGTATATGTATATGTATATGTATGTACGCATGCATGCATGCATGCTTAACGATTTTTTACTTTTGTTTTTGTACAAAATTAGCATATAGCTGCATCAAAAGGAAGTGAGAACTGCATTCTTCTCCTACTGGATTATGGTGCAGATCCAAACTGTAAAGGTATACTCCAGGCCGTTCTGTTTATAACAGTTGATCTTTCTTCGTTTATAAGTTAACACACATTCAAGTAGGGGAACTGATTGCAGAAACATAATTAACATGTCAATTGATTTGTTTAATTCTATGTTTTGCAGACTCAGAAGGAAACGTACCACTATGGGAGGCGATGCTTGCCGGCCACGATAGCGTAGCTAAACTGCTAAAGGAAAACAGAGCAAGCATCACCAGTGGAGATATAGGTCACTATGCCTGCACTGCCGCCGAACAGAACAACTTAAACTTGCTCAAAGAAATTGTTCAGTACCGTGGGGATGTCACACGTCCGAGGCACAACGGGTACACAGCTCTTCATGTTGCAGTTTGCGAAGGAAACATTGAAATAGTCAAGTACCTTATGGATCAAGGTGCTGACATTGACAAACTGGATGTTCATGGTTGGACACCGAGGGATCTAGCTGAGCAACAAGGACACGAAGAAATAAAGACGATGTTTGAATCAGAAAAGAAACGAAAACTCAATCTATCGTGTCGATTCCGGAGAATGCCAAGACACGGTACCTTGGGAGGTTTACGAGTGAGCCGGTTATCTGTCCTGCAACACCAGATGCGAAAGATGGATCGTGGAGCCAATCCCGGCAGAGGCGTAGGACAAGTAACTTCCACAACTCGCTATTTGGGATATTGTCAGCTTCAAACAGTGTGGATAAAGATTTACTACTCTCGATTCATCGACCAAAGGGTGTCAAGGATGATCCTATTGTCAACCCCTCTAGAGTGGTAATAAGTTGCCTGGAAAAGGGACAAACCAACGGAAAACTTGTACTACTACCGGGCAACATCGAGAAATTACTCGAGATTGGTGCTAAAAAGTTTGGGATATTTGGAGCTAATGTGGTGAGCAAAGGAGGAGCTGAAATTGATGATATTGAAGTGATTAGAGATGGTGACCATATTGTTTTTGTTAGTGATGGTCGTCAAATGCTGCAACATCAACAACAGACTACCATTCCAAAACCCCAATGCAATGGGTTTCCTTAGAGCACAAGTTAATACATATTACTAAATCTCATCTATTTTCCCTTTCTTTAACTTCTCTTTTTTAACTGTTTTTACAATATAAAATGCAGGAGAAAATAGCTGAGCTAATCCTTGCAACGTGCATTTAATAAAGCTTTGTAAAGGTGTAATATTATTTGCTAATTGGTTTCTTTTGTTTTAGTAATGAGAAATTGTAAATTATTCATTCACCCTTTTATTATTATTATTTTTAAATAGTTATTTCATGTTTTTTTTTAAGTTTCGTTTGTAATCAAGTACATAACGATGCATCTAAAAAATCGAGCCTTGCTTATCAACCACGCCAAACTCTCTCGAAATGCGACAAAGAATCCGATCATGTGGAAAGATGTATAAACCTTGAATCAATCTGGAGATGATAATTAAAAACATACTGCATAAGAACCATTTATCTGCACAAGGGTTTCCATAGAGAAGGTATATTGGGTTGAATAAAACAAACATCAAGGGAAAACGATACATGTATATCACTGCACAGATTAGTCAGCAGCCCACCCTCTCTATTTGAACAAAATGGCCAAGAAGCCAACCAAATTTTATCTTTTGGATTCTGAATTTAATTTGAATGACAACTCAGATACCTCTTGGGGCTTTTCTCACCACCCATTCATCCTTCACGCTACAAAAGCTTCATCGTTTTCAGGCGTTCTTCGTGTTCTGGATCAAGTTTTGGCGGCGTATAGGAGCCATGAAGGTCCTCCACAATGTACTCCTGCAAAAGACCAATGTCGAGGCAAGATTTAATCTGTAATGATAGGAGTAAAAATATATAATTGTAAAGCTAACTCTCTCGATGTTTACCTTAGTAAGCTCCCTTTTGGTAAGAATGTGGTAGTGTTTCTGCCAGATCCTTTGAACTGCCATCGTGGCAGCAAGGAAACCGTACGCTATTCCCAGAATGGCAAAGATTACAACAAAAACTACCACCAGTGCAAAGCATGCTTCCATAGATGCAGGAAAGCAATCCAATATACCCCACCCATAACAGCAATTCTGGCATCCAGCCATTCTTGGGTCATTGCTATTGAGGGAGAAGCAATGCAATACGAGACCAAAAAATCCAAGCAATACAAAGAAGGCAAGCACCCCTAAGAAACAAGGAAAAGATGGTGGGTTTATCTTCTTAATAAAACAGAAATTGGCTCATGCGACGAACTTGTTCATTAAACATGATCAATGCATGAAGCAATGTTTAGATTAGGTAAGGTACCTGCAATATACAACAGAAATAGACAGGCAGAAAATCTGGGAAGCTTACCTATGCAATAATAAAATGGTATGGGATGGTTTGACAGTATGCGATCCCAACCATTAATGAATGACTTCCGGAAAGCCCCATCTTTATCCATGACATATGCAAAGCCTGCCATTGCAGCAATCACCTGAGGAATATAAAAATCAATCATAAGAAGACCATTTCAAGGCTATGCATGACTAAAAATTCGGATAAGAAAGATACTCATATCATCTCTTTCACTCCTCTAGATACCGCACTTGTGTAGTTTTCCCCCCAATCTTTTCAGTAAATAGGGGGGCAAAATGTACGGAACTTGTAGGGGGGTTAGTTATTTTGATGAAGTTCCCTTATACAATGTGTCAGCCGAAAAAAGTCTGACAATTACGATATTATGGCAATGTAAAGATTACGTTATAGGGAAACTGGACTCCGAATTAACAATGTCTAGAAAGAAGCTCAATACTTTTTGCGTTTCTTTTAGATGTCATGGAAATGCAACAGCCACAGAACTTTAACCAATTTAGAATACCAAAGAAAAGATAACAATGCTACCCAAAATCAATTTAGAGAATGTCTAATAAATAATTCTC